CCTGGGGATCACCCCATGGGTAGGAGCCAGCGATGCACTGGTACTTGAAAGCAGGAACCGTGCTGGGTTGTATTAGCAGGTGCTGGGTATGGACTGGTAGGAGGCGCAGCGTCCAGTTTCAGAGGCTGTACGTTAAAAGGGTATGCAGGGGCGAGCCGGGAGCCAGAGGAAAGCAACAGAAACGCTTAGAGGAATGAATTCCAAAAGCTATCAAGAAAGGTGCAAAGGAGTTGAGGTTTGTCAGTTTCTGAGTTTGAGGTAAAAAGAAAAGAAAAAAATATATATATTGGTCATGTGATCAGCTCTGCCCGGCTTCTCTGTTTAAGTGACCACGTAGTTACTCAGAGGATTAAAATGCTCTCCCCTTCCACACGGCCGGTTTCACCAAGAAGACGGAGACAGGAAAAGATGAGATAATTTGCTCAGGTTCCCATAGCAAGCCATGAGCAAAAAACTGGCATCATAAGGTTCAACCCCAGGGCCATCTGTGGGGTGTTTAATCCACCAATCCATGCCACTTCTCTTTATAATGGACGCCCCCAAAAGACTGTAACAATGGAAGATGGAAAAATTCTCTGCAGATTTCCTTGGGAGAGAAATAAAACAAGCTAAAAAGGAATGTCATGCCTCACTGCTGAGGCCCATATAAACATCATCCTCTTGTGTCCCCCTGGACTGATGACACAGGACATGGTCCATCTGATAAGCTGTCAGCAGATGGCAGGATCCCTCATTGTACCCATTTACCCACCGATGTCAATTCCAAGCAGGAGCCGTTATCAGTGCTCCAGACAACAGATGGGGATGAGGAGGTGTGGCTGGTCTCAAGTCAAGGAGCTGGGGGCGGGGGGGGGCGGGTTCACAAAAGGCCTAGTTCTCAAATCCATCAGGTCCTTCTCTAGAACAAATCCATCATGGGGCGAACGGAACACACCACTGTTTATTCAGGTCGTTCCAAAAGGTGTCACAAAAAGTTCAGGACCGTTTTGAATATGTGCCATTCTTCCACTTTCAGCAAGGAAGGAGGAAGTAGGAAAACCAAACAGTGAAGCAAAAGCACGCCAGCCACATTAGGTGGGAATTAGGCTTTGAACAGAGTGTAAAGGAGGTAGGGCGCTGACAGCAAAGGCAACTCTAAAAAAATAAATAAATAAATAAATAAATAAATAAAAAAGGATGGGGCTCACTCAGAATTACTGGCTGAAAACCAGTGGCTTGGGGCTCAGGGGTCTGTGGCATCGACTGTTAATGTGGCAAATATCCAGCTTGTTTCCAGCCTGCCTTAGGTTGTGCCCCACTAAGTCTGGTGCCCGATCAGGAGACGTCAACACAGACACATTCAGAGCCAATGGGAATTGGACAATTCGAAAAGACATCCAAAATGGGATCTTTCTGTTACATTCCTAGGACAGAGACAAGGTGGTAGGATGCAAGGGTGATAAAGGGCCACTCACTGAAGAACACCAGTCTTTGCAGATACAACCAGTCAAAGTTCTAGCTTTTTAACCCTCTGGCTGAGAAGCTGTAGACTTGGGGACTTAAGTGGCTACGAGAATCGCTTTCTGCTAAGGCCTCGATTCGCACAGTGGCAGCTGTGTTAAAGCCACCTCTGCCATGAAGTTGCTGGGTGATTTCTGGCAAATAGCATAATCGCTGCATAAATTCATTCCCTGTCACTCCTACCTGCCAAAATAATACGCCCGAAGGAAGTAGCCATGCTTGAAGAAATACTTATTGGCGTAATTGGGAAACACCCCTGATATTCACCAAGGGGCTTAACAACGGTGTATGATTCTTGCTTGGCACTTGCTGACCCTGAGAACCCTCCCACATCTCTGGCTCAAGCTGAGATGGGAGACACTGGCACTTGGATCACACAAACCGCTATCACCCACAGTCCCGGCGCCTTCAAGAAAGCAGATGAGACCAAAAAGAAACCGGACAGCAGGAATAAACGGCCCTTCCTTATGCTTCTAAAGCTGGCAGTCACCCAAGAGCAGCATGGCTATGATGAGGGGCCTTGGGAATAAATATTTTACAGACTGAAAAATGGGAGACGGGGAGAGTAACCAATTTCCCTCCATCTCTTCCACTTCCTGGCCTAAAGCAATACTGTCCTTGTTATAAACTTATGTGGACTCTGAGGAACAAGGCCTTTCTATGACGCCCAAATTGAGTCACCCTGTGGAGAGAAACACATCAGAAATGTTTCTGCTAAGCTGCCCCTTTCATTTCAGCCAATGTGTCCCTTGCCTTTTCAGGACCTCTGAACTCCACAGAATGTCCTGCCATCGTGCAGCCTAATTCAGCAAGTTCACTTGCCAAAGCGTTTGTCTGTACTCAACATCGCCCCTTTGGAATATACACAGCCGCAGGAAACATTTTAACGTCTCTTTTTCCAGGCCCCGGCTAACCTATCATGACCCTAAACAAGATCATGTCCATGAAAGTGCCTTATAAACCGTAAAGTGCCAGATAAGTGTAAAGTATTATTAACCAGACTTGCTATCTTCAGTCCTTGCCGCAGTCAAGTCGGAAAACTGTTTCCAACCATCTGTTGTTAATTTTTCTTTAAGGACTCACAGCAACTTTTTTAAAAATCCATACTTCCCTGCTCCCCAGGAAGAGCCATAGGCAGGGTATGGGATGTGGGACTGACCAAAGGTCGGGGCCCGCAGCAGGCCTGAGGTGACTATTTAAATGACACGAAGCAGTGACAGGAGTAAAGCACAAAGGAGAATAACCCTGGTCAGGCTCAAGAATTCCTCAGCATGACTCTGTTCTCTGCCTCGGCCCTAGGGCTTCAGAGTTTAAGGAATGCACTGGACAAAAGAAAAAGCACAGGTGACAGGAATCAGTCCCTAGCCAGCCCCCTCACCTCCCAAGCATCCATCCCTCTGCAGCCGCCAGCCCCAAGGGCCCTCATCGTGGACACGTGTGCCCAAGGGTGGCCTGGTCAGGCTGACTTTACTGGGGAGATACAGGAAGCAGAAGATGAACAAGGCCACCTGACCTCAGCAAAGAAGAAACGAGTTTCCCTTTTGCCACACGAGGAGGCCGAAAGCCTTTCCAGAATGGCTCTCTGTTGCATCCCTGGCCACTACTTAAGGAGAAAACAATCAGAGAACGCTGACTGCCCAGAGCTGGGAATGCAGCTCTGTGTCATTTTGCAGATGGGCAAACTGAGGTCCAGCAAGTGTCTTTTTCCTCAAAGTCACACAACTAATTAATGCCAGAACCACATCTCCAGAGGCTTCTGAAAGCTTCTAAAAACCTTTCCACGGAAAACCCTGGTGCTGCCAGGTTTGATGTCATCACACCAGCAGCAGCCCCAGTCCGGCTGAATTTAGTCCTTTGTTGACCTTCTAGATATGTGGCTGCCAGAGGCCTCAAGACCCCTTTGTAGAAGAGGCACCCTCTGACCCTCGCCACCTGCCACCCAAAAAAAGCACTCCTGTCCCAAGAGCCTCACATAGCAGCGGCTGAGATGCGTTGTTTCCTCTCATTAACAAAAAGCCCATTCATAAAAAAGAAAGAAAGGGCTAGCTCAAATTTACCCAGAAGGTCTAGCTGGGAGAGCCCTGGGCTTCTTGTGAATGGCATCACATCCCAAGAAGTCCTCTCTTAAAAAAAGAAAAAAATGCTGCCCTCCAGCCCTGCTCGGTGCTGCCAGCCACCCGACCAATAACAGCCGCTTTATTCCACAGCTATCCACACCTCCCTGGCGCGTCTGTAAAGACGGGAAGGGGCTCAAGGCCACTGACCACATTTCACAGATTGGGAAACCGAGGCCAAGAACCTGCAATCAAAGGAGTGCCTAGAACACGGACCGAGCAAGTAGGCAGCGCCATGCTGATCAGCCTCGGCTTCTCCCCTGAGACAGCCCTGTCATTCCACTGACAGCCTGCAACCCCAAAGAGGGTAGGTTAGCTTTCCAACCCAGACGCTAATTCATCTTCGGGCTGCAGGCAAGCGACCTCCCGTCCCTGGGCCCCACCAGGCCCTGTAAAGCCAAGATAATAATCTCAACCTCCTGCCCCACACAGGACTGTCACAAGTCTCCTGAGAATAACCTTCTACAAATATAAAAGCAATAAAGATGCTAATGACAGGTTTCCAAACTGTCCCTGAATAAAACACACCAGGTTTCTCACAGCCTGAAATCTAAAAAAGATTTTTTTTTTCTTCCCTTTTCTCCTCTTCCTCCTCCTCCACAATTTTATGGTTTTAGAACATCTCTCCACACAGGCTGAGTACAGAAAGGCAGCCTCACTCTTGGTCCTCACCCAGATTATTTTTATGTATCTGGCAACTTTCCTTTTCAGTCCCATTTGTTTTTCTTAGCACCGCTAATGCGAGGTAAAGAAATCAGCTCTCTGAGCACCCCAAAGCATGACCACGGGGAACAGAGTAAGAGCAAGAAGTTGGAGAGGTCTGCAAAAAATAAACAACCCTCTCACCATGGATAGAGATCACCAGCCCAAAGTTCACGAGCCAGCCTGTTTTCAGAGCGCACTTAGTAGGAGCTTGGTGCTGCTCCGACACCTGAGTTCAAGGGCAGACCTTGCTCAAGCATAAAAGTCCCAAATGAAAGAGTCATTAAGGGAAACCCATAAAAGTATTTCCCCAAAGTAGCACAGTGGGGACAAGGAACCTTATGTGACCACCTCCAAGAAGGAGTGTCACCAGGCCTCTGGGAAATTAACTGCAGCAGAGGGGATGGGGGCAGGCCGTGGACCCCCGATGTGACTCAGAACGGGCACCTGGCTGGGGCTGCACTTCCGGCTTGTGAAAGGCCAGGGCAGGGCTGGGGGTGGGGGGGAGGGACAGCCCACCAGAGTGCCAGTGGGTTCCTAGGAACATAGTGACAGAGCCCTTGGAAAATCATTTTTAAGGGTCCCACTTCCCACCGGATGAAGTGCCCTACACTTCCGAGGGTCCTGAGCACACAAAATGACTCTTATCACTAAGGCTGCCAGGGAAAAAGTCAACAGACTCACATGCATCATGGTGACCAGGTGACAGGGGTTGAGCAGGTAGATGACGGTCTTGGTGGCGAACTTAAAGCCCACCTCCACCCCGAAGGTCAGGCACAGGGCTACTAAGAGCAGATTCTTGCTCAGGCTCTCCTTGCCTTCCTCTGGCCGCTGGGTCACCTTATCTGGCTGGCAGCCACGGCCACCCCTACCGTCCTCCTTCGTCTGCCTCAGGATGTGCCGCAGGGCCACCAGGATCTCCAACAGGGCCAGGGTCAGGACCACCACACTTTCCAGCAGCCGCTGCTGCCAAGGGAGGAAGGCAGCACAGTCGGGGCCCCCATTGCCTGCAAAGCTGGGGTCCACGCCCCCATAGAGCCAGTCCAGGAGACTTTGGTAGCTATACCGGGACATGATGCCAAGTGGTTCCCCTCGACCACCGTGCAGGAAGCGAGAGCGAGATGGAACACAAGCCCGGAGGGTTGCCTGGGTGCTGGGACGTGTACGGAGGGCACACCCCCGCACCCGCACCCCCCTCCTCCGGACACCGGGGCACCTAGAGCAGGGGGGGAGGAAGCTACACGCGAGGCCCGGGGTCAAGTGCTGGCTCTAACTTGTCCCCACGGCTGTCTGGGGAGCCCCCCGCGCTTCTCCAGTGGCCACCAACGAGGCAGGGTTGAAAGGAGCCGTTGGCCAATCTAAAAGGAAGGAGAGGAAGAAAAAAAAAAAAGGTCTCAAAGAGGCAATTGCATCGGGAATTACGAAGCGGGGCGGGCTAACTAGCGAGGGCAGAAAAGGGGAACAGGGGCAGTGGCGAAGCAGGCAGGGGTCAGGGGAAGCCGGAGGCCGGGAGGGTGAGGGCGAGGGCCGAGGGGACCCGGCAGTGCCGCGGGAGCCAACCGGGGAGCGGCGGGGGTGAGAGCCAGGGGACACGCGGAGGCCAGGAGAGGAGCCAGCGGGGCCGGGCAGGCGGGGAGGGCGACGGGGATGGCAGGGACGCCGGACTCCTCGTCTCACGCACTCGCCACAGGGGGATCTCTTACTCCTGCAACCGCGTGGCCGTCTCTGCCCCCAGCTAGCAACTTCGCCGCCGACGGGCCTCTCCGGCCAATTTAGCGCGGTCCCGGGCCGGCAGCCCGCCCCCGGGTCCACCCCCGAGTCCCCAGCTCCACCCCCGGCCCCAGGCGCCCGCCCTCGGGCAGCACCTCCCCCCCTCCCGCCCCGCCCGCGGCCAGCCCGGGACCTGCCCCCCTGGCGCAGGCAGAGGCGGGGGGAAGCCGCGGGGAGTGGAGGTGGGGGGGGGGGCGGGCGGGAGGCCGGGCCAGCCGGGGGCTGGGCTTCGGCCGGCCCCCTCCCTCCGCCCCGGCGCCGCATCTGCCCGCGCCTCCCGCCCGGCCCGGGAACCGGCCGCCGCGCCCCTCGGGGCTCCACTCACCCGCAGCTCAGCCCGCGGCCCGGGGTCGGCGGCCGCTCGGCTCCCGCGCTCCGTGCGCTCCCCGCGCCCCGGCGCTCGGCTCCCCCGGCGGCCGCAGCTGCTGCTGCCGCCGCCACCACCGCGCGCGGCTCCTCCTCCCCGTCTTCCTCCCCCTGCAGCGGCCGCGCTCGCTTCCTCCTTCTTCCCCT